TTATCCTTTAAATGAAGTTACAGAAAATGACTTTTATGCTAAATAAAGTAAACTTTTAAAAGCATGTCATAGGTTAAATGTCCAAAGTTAATAAAGAATATTTTCCTATTCTTATCTTTCTTAAACGTTATTTAGTTTTCTAATTAATGAATAATTTTGTGCATAAAATACCATAGATAAAATACCAAGGTTTAATCAACTTTGATATACTTTATAATACTTCTTTCAACACATATGAACATTAGTTAAGAAATTATACTAGGAATTATTATTTTGTTTTGTTTTCTGCTGCATTATATTTTTTAACAAATAGTAGATACTTTAGTATCTTGATTTATAATCTGCATTGATTTAAAATCTTTTTTAAAGGCTTTTTACATTTTTACATATTTATTTTTTTGTCAAAATAATGATGCTCTTAAACATTATATATAACATTGTTGCAACAAACTTTTAGGGGAGTTAGTGCTCATCATCAGGATTAAAATTTCATCGGAAGTCATGCCTAGTAATATTTTCATACGTAGCTAAGTTCGTTTCCTAATTATAAGCCGTTTCTTCCTGTGTTTTTGAACAGGACATAAAATGAAAGCGTAACGAGCTTCGTACGGTGACATTTCCAAGCATAAGGCGATTTTAATCATGATGCTGTGCCCTAACTCTCCAAGACGCTTGTCTATTTTTGAGCGGCCTCCTGTTATATTCAATAATTTTTTAACTTTTGAAATCCTTATACCCGAGTTAGGCAAGATAAATTATTTGTATATATGCAACAAGTAATTTTCCCCCCGTGTTATCGGAATTAGTTGGAAATTCAGCTTCATATTCACAACTTGGAAAATATTGAGCATTTATCTATCAATAATAATAATGATAGGAAGAATTCGTCTGTGTGTGCCTCTATTTTAATTCTCCAAATTTTGTTCTAGGATCTTGGAACTGTGTTATTTTAACCTTAAATCATAATATTTGCTAAAAAAGATTTAATTTGTCCGTTTAGGAGAGACATGTGACTTTTCTCTTACCATTATGAATGATCACAACTATAACTCCAAAAGCATTTTCTTTTCAATTATTCTAAAGGTAACATAGAAGATTTGCTTTCTAGCTTACAGCGCTATTTAATGAGAAACGAATTTCACTAGGATGTTAAAGCACGTCCTTCAGTAAGTATTTGCATTTGTATTTTTTTAAGTCACATCAGCAAATGTGAAATAAATGTGTATGGGTTTGACATCTCCAAATAAGTACTTTGAATGGTTTCACCTTAAACCTAAATTATTAAGGGGGTACAATTAATAAATGCAGTTAAATGATTAAATGCAACGGTAATTAAAATTTAAAAAAATGAAACTAGATTTGTTATGCGCCAGTTTATCAGTAGAACTGCTTCATGGTAGTAAATCTTCAATGTCATACTTTCATCTTGATCCATAGCATCATTTTTAGTTCCAAATAATACAAATGCTTGCTAAGTTACCCCCCCCCCTTTCTCTCTCTGTTTTCCGATGAGTTGAACATCTAATACTCGTTTTTCATAAAAATGCAAAATTTTCTTCAAGGGCAAAAAATAGTAATAAAATGGAATTTATTATCAGTTAATGACCTTAAATTATGAGCTCTATTTTGCACATTTTAGCACTTATTCATTAATTATTAATGCTTTTTTCCACTCAGTACATATAATGGATATTTAGCTAGAAATATATAAATAATTTTAAAATAAAGAAAAATGCACAAGCTATGATTTTATTTTGGGAATTAATTGTTGTTTTTACTTTAAGAAGAAAATATGCGATAAACAAGCTTTTCCCTAATGCAAAAATAAAAATACGAGAAAAAAAGACGAGAGTCAAGCAAAGAAAAAGTTGACGTAAATAAGGAAACTCATAAAAAGCTGCATTCGAAAAAACAATTTCATCCATTAACTTTTTTTTGTAAATGCAACCTTTAAATAATCTTAAATGCAAAACTTGCAGATCATAAATGTTTTTATTTGATCAAAGGAAAATTAATAATATTCAATCTCTCTATAGTATAAAAGATAATGATCTAAAATTATTCGTTATAATTTTATATGCATTAATTCTCGACAGAAAAGTCATATGATAAGATCCTTAACTCTCAAAAATATCTGGAAACGTCAGGCTCTTACGAGCTGAAGATTAATAAACTTAATAAAATTAAAATAATAAAATTAAAAGATTAATAAAATCAGCAGTTAAAATTAATAAAATCCAAATTAATAAAATTAAAATTAATAAAATTAAAATTAATAAAATTAAAATTAATAAAATTAAAATTAATAAAATTTAAAGATTAATAAAATCAGCAGATTATTTACTTATAGTCTTACATAACGGTATTCTTATTCTGTAATATTTTGATGAGAGATACTTAATAAATATTTGTTGGAGTTACCATCCTATATTTTAACTATTAATGTATATTTTACTTATTTTGTAAATAATGGAAATTTCTCGAGAAACAAAAATGTGATAAAGAAACAGATATTTTAAAAATATTAGTTTTAGTAATGAAAAATAAGCTGTACTTACCTTTTGATAACTGTACAACAAATTTTATTGTAAATTTATAGCAAATATAGTCCTGTCTACGCGTGCAATATATATTATTTATTACAGTATATATTATTTATTATTCAAATATTATTACTTCAAACTAAGTGTTATCAATTACAAAGATCATATTAATTAACTTTACGCACTATATGTAAATAATCTCATTGGAAAATAACTGAACGTTTTATAGCAATCGAAAATTATCTAAAACATTAAAATAAAATAATAATTTTGTGGAAGAAGTTGAAACAGTAGCGGAGTAAAATGATAGTGATTTAATTTAGTTTTAAGAAAATAAGAATAATAATACTAAGAAATTAGAATACAACCAATTTTAGAGAACCAAATCTGCCTGATTTAATAAATATTTTGCTATCATTTAACTGAATATTATTTAATTTAGACGTCATATTCTTTTGATTTTCAAGAATTCGAAATTATAATAAAAAAATCACGAGGGTTGGTGAGGGAGTGGAGCAGGGTTTGGAGCCCCTAATAAATTACTCTGATAAATATCATAAAGATTTTAGTTTGTGTTGCTTTGAAATTTATAAATTTACATTTAAATAAATACTCTTTCGTAATTTGATATTATCGTACTTTAAGAGATCTGTAATTTATTCTCAAAATTATATTCGGAATACTCCGTCATAATTTTCCTACTAAAATCAATACGAATGCTTAGCATTTTTTTCCTAGTAACGCAATTTATTGCAGATTTTAATTTTTGAAATATTATACTGCACAAGCAAACTCTTGCGATTTGAAGATTTGAAACTCGCAAATGGAAATCTAGTCTTTTTCCGTTTTTTTTTGGTTTTGCATACTTGTTTCATTTTCAGTAAGTGTACACAATATTGAACAAATCAAATGAACTAAAAATTTATTTTATAAGAAAAGTGCCCTTTTCATACTTCACAATTTTACAGCGACAAAATTGTACGAAATATTAAGATGAAAATTAGTGACCGTTTAAATTAATAAATTTTTAATACAACAATGAACAAGATATCGGAGTATAAGGAATTTTGTTAGCTTCGAATGTGAGGTGCTTTATCTCTCGGAGATACAGAATTTTCAAACATTCCATTTTATTTATTTATTTTTTTAATTTTCGCATACTTCAAAAATATATGCAGATTGAGAGCGCTATTTTTCAAACATTCTGGTACTAAGCTAGTGATAAATTCTCTCAGATTGAACATATCTCGTCTTCGAGATACAATCTTTGAGGCATCATTTTTTTGGTATTAGTATACTTTGACATGCAGTGTGCAGTGCCGTGGTGGCTCGGGGAATAGAGAGTTCACCTCTAAAGAAGGTGATTCAGGTACAAATCAAAGTAGCGGCTGATCGATATAAATTCTGCTTCCGGCTCGCACAAAGCACAGTGCTGACGTAAAATTTCCTCAGAGATATTCGGATCATTAAGGGTTAGAACCCTCCTGCCATAGATGTAAACCTGAGTTTTCGTGGTTTTCCTTCCCATATAACGCAGATGTGAGTTACTTCCATCAAAAGTTCTCCACGAAAGTTAGTTTATTCCAATGCTTGATTGAAGAGTTCCCTTGTCTTCTGGGTAGGGGAGAAAATTATAAAGCTACTGAATTGAATATTGATTGTCGAAAACTCAGGATTAGGCCAGCAGTTCAACATCGTTTATAAAATAAAATGTAGCAGTAGCATGCAAATGAAATAGTATATTATCCCTTGGAATACTAAGGTGGAGTCATTTTACTTCAGCTGGACGCTTCTTGACTCCTTGAGGCCGATGCACTATCTCCCCAAGACGCGATTTTTTTTTCATTGTTCTTTTCTTTTTACTTTTTGCGTGTAGAGAAGTGCTTCCCAAAGTGGGGCCCACGCCCCACTGGGGAGCAATTTGATTGTAAAGGGGGGCAATTCAATAATGGACTCGACTCGAGTTTAACCCTTTTGCTCCGGGCCATTTAAATGCAATGCTAGATTTCGGTGCTAAAATTGATAGAAAAAAGCAAATTCTTAAATAATTGCGGCCAATAAATATTATAAATTCGTTTGACGCGACCTAAATATCAACTGGGTTTTTGGCGTCGTCAAGTTAACCTTCCTGCGTCAGACGGTAGGCTCAGCGTGGACCCCCGGACGCTTTAAAATCTCGCTAAACAATGCAGTTGTTCGCATCTGACGAATAGACGAAATGAGTGAAGATATTGAAAAAAAAAATTTTTTGAAAAGCTGAAAACAAGAAAATTCTCAGTGCAAATGGATGAATCAACTATGATAGACAGTGTGGCAGTATTGATAGTTTTCGTAAGATATATTGATAAAGGGCATTTCGAAGGAATGTTGTTCTGTAAAAGACTAGAAAGCACCCTTACCTCCAAAGATATATATATAATAAGCTAAAAAAGCTACTTAGATGTCAATAATATACCAATGAAAAATATAACATCTTGTGCTGCAGGTGGTGTTTCTAATATGATGGGCAAGAAAAATGGTTGCTTAAAATTGATGAAAGATGAGAATCCAGAAAGGATTCTTGTGCATTGTGTTACTCATAGGGAAAACTTGGTAGCTAAAAACATCTCATCTGATCTAATCATAAAGTGTATCAATGCTATTAAAGCTAATGCCAAATGTGAGCGTCTCTTCAAGCTATTTTGTGAAGAACAAAATGCAGACCATGTGAGATTTTTACTTCACACTGAAGTAAGATGGCTCTCTAAAGGGAACTGCCTGAAAAGATTTATGGAACTGTTTGATACTCTTAGTGGTTTTTTAAGAGACAAACCTGAAATGAAGTATATATGTTAACAGTCGATGGTAAAGCATTTGTGAGTTATTTAGTCGATATCCTTGAAAAACTAAATATATTATATAAGCAACTTCAAGGAACAAATAGAACTCTTGTTGATGCAAAAGAGAAGACATTTGGTTTCATTACCCTTATTGTATTATGTCAGAAATATGTTAACAACAAAAACTTCGAACAGTTACATTGGCTCCAAAAATGTGACGTAAATGATACCGCTTTACTTGTTATTGTCGATCATCTGAAAATTCTATCGACTGATTTAAAAGAAAGATTTTCTGATTTAAAATAAATGGATTGTCCAACACGTATGATGCAGCCAATGTTATTGGATTTGTCTGATGTATCAAATATGCAGTATCAAGAAGAACACGCGGAAATGCTAAAATGATGAGTCAGTTAAAACTTTATTTAATATAAAAGGAGTGATGGCATGGCTTTGCGAGGAAACAGAAATCAAATACCCAAATTCAATCAAATGTGCAAGAAAGCTATTGTTACCGCTTCCATCTTCATATTTAGCTGAATGTGGATTTAGTGCTGTAAATGATTTTACTGGTAAAAAAAAGAAATCGTCTGGATGTAACACAGCGGGGAGACTTGAGACTGAAGCTAACCAAATTAGAACCTAACATAAAATCTCTGTTTAGCAAGCGCAAGGATCTCACTAAATTAAAATATTAAATTATTATAGAAGAATCTTTATTAAAATTATTTCGAATTTGAATTTTAGTTTCTCATTATACGTTTTGGAAATTTGCTTACTGTGTTTCGTTAACAATTTCCTAGTGATTTCTTCCTAATATCTATCATTTAAGTTTCTTAAGTGAAAAATTCAATTTTTTAATATTAAAAATTATGTATATGTTACATAGGGAGACATAAGAATTTTAGAAAGGCTAAGGTGGGGCATGGCACCAAAAAGGTTGGGAAACACTGGCGTAGAGTATGGAGATTTGCAAACATTATCTGATTCTTTGAAGTAATAAGGGTCCTCAATTCGACTATTGCTTGACATTTTGTTATTTTTATTTTATTTTCGAAAAAAATTCATATCTAGGTACTATTCTAGGTCATTAATTTTTTTCTCAATTTGAGCAAAGGGCATAGTGATGAATTATGAAAAAATAATAATATACATTTCGTTTAAAATTCAGCGTGTTGAAAAGAGATCCTCAATTATAAAATACATACATAATCAATTATACTCAATTATGAATACAATACTTCAATTATAAATACAATACATCAGTTATAATACATCATAAAGACGAATGTCCAAACATTTTGTACTGGATTCCTGGGTGCTTAATAATAACGTTTCATTGCCCACTGTCACATTATTGTCGTTAACAACAATGCTCACAGATAACTGAAGCTAAAATGTGATTAGAATTTTGATATGTAACATTTATGATTTCTGAACAAAGTTTTTGCTATATCATAATATTCTATGAAATATTAGCTGCGTGATTACGTGGATTCAGTGCATACGTTTATTAGAGTTTCAAATTTAAATGTGCTGCTGAATTCCAACTGCTAGAAATAGGAAGCCAAAATACTACATTAACTTATATCTTAACATTTATAATTTCTGATTATTGCATAAAATTATTAGGTGATATTTGCGGTATTATACCACAACTATATTTAATTATTTTTATGTGGTTAAAGTAGGATTTCCTAATTTCAAGCGCGCCAGTCCTTTTTATTTGTACTTAATAATTTGCTGCATGGATTAATCAGTAGATATTAAAATTTCTTATTTAAAATTAGGAAGTATTTTGTGCACAAACAGCAATAAAACGTTTATGTTACTTCATTATTTTTTCAGGAGACATAATTTTAAACGTATATAAGTATTTATTGGCTTAAAAAATAAATTGAAATAAAGTGCTTTGTAAGCAAGAATTAAGTATTTATACTCATTTTAAGTATGTATACTTATTTTAAGTATTTTTACTCATTTATTCGAGGAGAATAAGTTGCAGTTATCATATATCAGCATTTCTCTTTGATATTGTAGATATGTTTCCGTAACTATTACTTTAAAATTTATTTCACGTAATAAGACAGAAAGAAAAAAATGCATATATCATAATTTAACTTTAAATTTGCAGACGGAAAATTCTTTATAGCTTTCAGCACAGTGAAACCTTTTTCTCTGTATAGTTTAATCAAAAATAATGAAAATTTCTCAAAAAATGCATTGTTCTTGGTAAGGATTTAAGCATTTCTTCTATAAATATTAATCTTCCTTTGAAATTATATTACTGCAACAGGATGTTTTCCAATTTGCAGTTTCTATATTTTTAAGGTAAAATAAAGGAAATAATATTTTTATGAATGCTGACTGAAAAATATTTATAATTTGAATTTCACAAAAATTGAAGATATTACTATCTTTAACTGTTTACTAATGCAAATTTCGTTTAAAGCGCTTAGAATGTCTGTTAACTAAATTAAATAAAGCTGTTTTTCGAAGACTGCATCTTAATTCGGAATGATGCAATTTTTGTAAATAATATGCTATTTTTATAACTGCTGTGAATTTTCAATTGTTACTCTTAACTGTTCGGTCAAGTTTAGCCTATCTAACGCCAGCACTGTCTACGTTTACTTTCTAAATGGCACAAAATGTCAAATTGGAATAAGGCCATAGTTTTTTGAAAATGAAAAGCTATTGTGGTTTAATTTTTTAATAAATAAAAATTTGCTACAATGCTGTGTTAGCTGGACTTATTAAAATTTGCAGAAACTGAGATTACGAATTTTGATAATTTTCAGCAATTTTAAGTTATATCTCTGTTCTAATGCCCAGACAATTCTTCACGGAAAGAATATTTATACAGTATGAAGTCATCGCATTGCTTAAAGTGCAAGGCATTTAAACTAATACTTTTTTTTGTTTTCCTTTGCAACAGACCTACGAAAAACGTAGTTAAGATGTTATGATTATTCGGAATATACATAGAATAAAAACCAGATATGAAAAAAGTGCGTTTTTCTAACAAATGTTTCATATACCGTTGGGAATTTTGGAACGCAATACATAGTTGAATTTTTCAATTGTTTTAAAAACCCTGTTAAGTTGAATTATATTATCTCTATAATTTCATAATTAACTATATGTAACGCATTAGCTATATATAATTTCATAACTCTGAAACTTGAATACACAATACTGCAAGGAGAAAAAATTCTGATAAAAATTACCGCATTCTATGGTAATGGTATTTCTGGTACAAAAGAACACAATACTGGTTAATAAAACCAAAATGTACGGTATTTAAATCTTTCAGTTGGTAATTATTCCGTTCATATAGCAACGGTTTACCAGAAATTCTGGTTTTGAAAATTATAGTTCTTATTAACACGCATTTATAAAAACTGCAAAGCGGAAAAGTAAATTTAATCGAATAAATGGTCTGCCATGCTGTTAAGTATCATAATAAAATTACCAATTATATTTATTCGTTAGTTTTATCAAAATAATTTCCAATTAATTCGATTAAAATTACGTAGCTTCTCAGTGTTCCCAAGAAGCCAGTAGTATAATAAATTTCACCATACTTGGTAGTTTTGACCATATATTTTCTCAGTGTTAAACACTAATTGGGGTAAGGTTTTCATTATTTGAACTGGAGTTGTAGCTAATTTGAATGGTATTTAGATATCGTTTTTGTTTAACATAAACAACATAAAATAAAAAGAGTCATTTTTTTAACAAATGCTTCATAGACTGTTAAACATTTTGAAAATGTGTCAATCATAATAAAACTGAATTTTTTAGTAGCCATTAATACACTGAAAGTTGCTCCAAATTATTGTAATTATTGTAACTCTATAACTTGATTACGCAATACTGTGGTTAAACTTTAACGGACATATCGCTCAGTTAATATGAACCGTATTCCAGTGATAAATAAATTAATCTGGTTCATTGTTAAGCCAATCTTCTTAAGGATGTGAATGAAGTCTTTTTCTTCTTAATTTTAATTACAAATAGATACAATTTAAGTTTTTTAAAAGAAAAAAAAATCATTGAATAGAATGATTTTTCATTAGAGATAAATGCCTTCCAGATGACAATCGTGAAAACATAACATTTAATAACACAGAGATTTTCCTTAAAAATGTAATATGCACCCTTTTTGTCAAATCTAAAAAGATTTTAAGCCATTAGATAAACTATTCCTTTCTCAACAAAACAGCCATTTTCCAGACTTGCGAAGGAATATATGAACCCATAGAATTTATCATTTTAACACCAAGCAAACACCATTGCTTCATCAGCCTATCTATTATGTCGCTCACCAAGTATTCCCCTTCCCAAGTTTAGTTCTTTTTTTAGTTTATTCCAACTTTCCAAACTCACACGCTAAGTGGAGAATAAGGTAATAATACTTCCAAACGATAGGGGATGGGGAGACAACAGCGTTTCTTTTGAACGACCTCCATCATTGCTTCGTTAGGGGTTACTTATTGGTAGACCGCTGATGGGAAATATGTAGTATTTTAGCGTTGAAGCTACTTTTTCTTTTCTTTAAGAAGAAAAAAAAGAAGGTGGAAAAATAAAGAAAAAGCTAAAAGCTGTGATGTAAATATAGGATACTACTGTTCTTCATAGTTGAGGTGGTGGGAGATATGTTCTTGTGTCATCTGATATGTTTTTAGAAGAGGGGATCTTTGGTTTTCCGAAAAAGAAGCAATTTTAAACCATCCTCGTATTTCGTCGTTGTTACAAAATGCTTTAATGAGACAAAAGAAGAATAGTTTGTCATACTAGGAATTCTTTTCTTTACTAAACGGTGACATTCCTTTAAGACTCCTGTCTATAGTTTAATAGTTCATCTACTGTAGAATGTGTGCTTGTATTTATATATATATATATATATATATATATATATATATATATATATCCACTCAAGATAACAACTTTATTGATTAAAGTTTTTATTTTGATCATATTTGATTATTTTGATCACAAATCATAATCAAT